CCCACAAAAACCACCTTCCCCACCAAACCCACTCCTTTCCCACGAATCCATCTCGGTCCAGTCGGCTTGGTAGAGGGGCTGCAGACCTATCAGGGTTGGGGGACAGGGCTGGCCAGGGGGAAGGGCTGCAGGGGGTTTTCCAGCAGTCCCCCCCAATGGGCGGTTCGCTGGCTGCAGTGGGCGTCATAGCGACCGGTCGGTCTGGTCTTACAGCATTCTGGTCACTGGCTTTTTATATATATACTAGAGGCCCAGTGCATGAAATTCATGCACATTAAAAGGGAATTAATTAGAGGAAATATTTTAATATTGCTCTTTGCCCTTTCTCTATAATAGAAGTGTCAGAGATGAAAGAAAATTAGTAAAATGTATATGAAAATCTCCCTCCTGTCAGAGTCTGGGGCATGCAGCAGGACCCAGAGTCAAGTCCCAGCCTACCCACGCATGCCTCGAAATTGTGCGAGACCCAGACCCAGCTAGCCCCACTGCCATCAAGCCCCGTAGGACTGGGGGCACAGCCTCAGGTCCCCCAGCCCGGCGCCAGGCGAGGGGTGCAGCCTTAGGTCCCCCGTCAAGCCCCACCGGGCAGGGAGCTCAGCCTCAGGTCCCCCAGCCTGGCACTGGGCAGGGGGTGTGGCCTCAGGTCCCCCAGCGCAGCCTCAGGAACCCTGGCCCACTGCCAGGGGGCGTGGCCTCAGGTCCCCCGGCCCCAGGGCAGGGGGTGCGGCCTCAGGTCCCCTGGTGCTAGGGCATGAGGGCGCAAGGGCGTGATGGCCATTTGCATATTAGCTCTTTATTATATAGGATAGATTACAGAAAAAGGCAGGATTTAACTGACACAAACAATTTTTGTTGGGAAAATTTTTCACCTGTTCTTTCTGACGTGTCTAACATACCAAAAAATCAGACCCTTGGCTACTGGCACTTTCATTGATTATTCTAGAATTTCAGGTGGGAGACAAGATTAGCACCTGTGTCCCTCTTTCTGAAAAATTTGCTTTGTGTAATGGAAATTCTTATTAGACATGTTGACAACTAAACTCTTGAATAATTGAAGAGTTTGAGACTAGAATAGAGTTGTGAAGTGACAGCAATATGTGTAAATAACTAAAAAGGCCTAAATTAAATAAAATACAAATTATTACTGTATAACCACTTTTTAAATAACCATCATTCCTACATACTAAATATCCATATTAGAGAATTTAGAAAATGTGGTTGTGTACAGAGGTGAAAATTAAAAGGACCTGTAATCATATACGTCCTTAGTCCTCCTGGTATGATTAGTTAGAAATTGATTTTTCACATGAAACTCAGTGATGAAGTTTAGGGGAAAATGCAAATTAAGAAAGTTCAACTCCGACTATTATGTAGCTACAGTGTAACATTATAAATTTCTTCAACGCTTGTTAAAATTACAAAGCAAGTTTATTTTCCCGTTTTGTTTAGTGGATAAATTGCTTCTTGCTGTAAGATGTTTATTGTTCATTGGTTGTGACTTTTGAAAGGTGTTACCAAAATAGATATATTTTAAATTGACTTGAGATAGGTTCATTGAATACTTTTGGATTGGAAAATTACCTAAATTGAGAGTAATTAATTTTTATTACTTTGAGCAAGCAATATCACACTCCAGGATAAAAAGAGGTCACTCCCTTTTTTTTCCTTTACTACTTAAAAAAAATTACTATTTTTTATATTCATCTGTACAGAACTGAACCAAATAATATGACTTGCATAGATATGGAAACTGTTACAGTGTTTAGGCGTGGGGGATACATTGTTGAATGGGCAAAAACCCATGCTTATATGGATGAAAATGAGTTATTTATTATGGACATACCACTGAGATTTTTAATTAAGCAATTTAATTGATGTTTTAAGATGCATATCTAAGATGGAATGGTATCTTAAAATTGGCATGGTTTAATTGGCAACTTTTCTTAGTGGTACATAAAATAATAGTGTGTCTGAAAATTGATGGCATTTTAGAGTCAGTGAAATAGGGAATATATAGAAATCTCAGCATATTGATTTATGTTTAACACCAAAAGGGATGACTTGCAAAATGAAGCTATACA